ATCCCCCCATTTATTCGGATAAATCCTTTTTAAAACCCTTATCTAAATCATTTATATTAATAAATCCTCTATTTATATTGATAAATCAGCCTATTTATATGGATAAATCAACCTATTTATACCGATAAATCAATCTATTTACATGGATAAATCAACCTATTTATTTGAATAAATGGTTATGTAAATTCATTGTTTATGATAGAAAAATATATTAATAATGATGAATTGAAAGATTATTTGAATGATTTATTTGATGATTACAATAATTAAAACCTCTTTAAAGAAAAGACCCTCTATTATAGTATGGAGAAAAGTAATGATAAAAATAATAGACAATGCTCAAAATGTAAACAATACAGAAATTCAGATTGGTTTAAACCTGATAGAACACAATGTAATCAATGTTTAGAGGCAAAGAAAAGATATCGTGAAAGACATAAAGAACAATTATCAAATTATGCTAAAACTTATTTTCAAGAACATAAGGAAGAAATAAGAATAAAGTATGAAAAATACAAAGATATGTATATTGATTGTTTTTATTGTAAATGTCCAGTTCATGAATACAAAATGAAACAACATGCAACAAGCAAACAACATCAAACAAACATGGAAAATTATCACAAAAGAAACAACGAGGCTGATAAACAATGGGCTGACCACATAAACAATATTTATTTAACTTTACTTGATTAAGCTACAAAACCCCACACAAACATTCATAATAAAACTTATTATGAATATTTGATAAAACGCTAGAACCACAAACACCCCAGAAACCTAGGAATTATGATGATTGATGAAATATTGAATTAGGTAGATAAATTAAAATGTAATAAAATGTATACTTAAATTATGAAAATTTTGAATTAATATTTATAAATAATGAATAAGGTATCCATTGTCCTAGAAACCCCACCGAAATTTGAAATATGAGATTTTTGAAAATCTGAAAAATTTTGTTGAAAAATAATGAATAAGGTAATTTTATAAAATGAGAAAATGAATAAGGTAATTTTTCATGAAAATAATGAATAAGATTAAACAATAAAAAAATGGTGTAATTATAAAATACTTCAAGAAAAAAGCCCCAGAAAAAATATTTTATGAAATGAATTAGGTTCATAAAATGATTTTATGTAAAATTTATGTGGTAACTAATGTAAAATGAATGAGGTAGAATGTATAAATATATAGATAGGCGCCTGTGGCGGAAACCTCAGAAACCTCCTTTCTACAATTTTTTAACCCGCCCCGCCGTGCGAAATGCGAAATTGCCATGTTGCGAGCTTCGCACTTGGCACCCGACCGAGCACGAGTGGTGTCGTCAGCGTCCACACAGCAATCCCGAGCCTAGGACGGACCCTCGCTGCGGCTACGACGCAGCATGTGGCCCGTGGAAAGCAGAGCGGCTCCGTCTGCTGGTTTAACAAGAAGGCAGCTTTGAAACCCTAAACCCCAACTCGACCGTGCCCGAGGGCTCCGGTGTGTGAAGGTTTTGGCAGCGTCTCCTTTGCAACTACTGGTCCACATGGATTCATGATGAACATGCCTTCTTCCGAAAAGCACTGGTTCAGTCTCGCTGACTGGACCAGGCAGATGCTGGCGCAGGTGAAAACAACACCAAAGTGCTTCTGGCGCACTGCAAGCTAGAGTTAAAGCAACTCGTCATCTGACCATGCCCCCTCGGAGAGGACCAGGCCGCTCGCTGCAAGCTCTCGACTGAAGGCCAGGTACCTGAGTCGACAAACATGGGACCCAACCAAAGCTATTCTGATAGCATGCCTTCTACGTCTGACAAACCAAGCGGCCCCTCCGAAGTGGCACCCTTGGGAAGCGCAATGTCATTCCCTCACAAGGTGAAGTGGAGACAGTGGCTTCAGAAAGTTGACACTTCATGCCTGGCCTTGGGATAAACTTCGAAAGATCTCTTGCCTGCCCTGCAAGTCATCTGACTTTACCGTCAATAGCTCCTCCATGAGACGGCATCAAACTTATAACCTTGGCGCCTTTTGCAATGTTCACTCACAATCTTCCCGTCCTGCAAGGTTACTCCTGCTCCATGCCCGATGAGGGCAGAGACCTCCATTTCCCCCAGGCGCAGGCCACCACCTCTGCTGCCTTGGCTTTCGGTATTGGACGGACTTGCCCCAAGGGGTTTTGGCCTCAGGCCCTTTGGAATGCGACAAAGCTGCGTCCCTTTATTGGCTGCTGTGTAATGACCTTGTGAAAGGCAGCTTGGGCAAAGAAATCTTACGGCAAACCCACTAAAAAAAGAGGAGACTGCACATGAACATGTTCACCACTGCCGAGTCACATGGTACCCTTTGTGATTCCCATCCTCAATCCTTCGCGAGCCCAACGACGGTCGTGCATGTATCTTATCCTTGGATACGTTGGAACAGTGCACCCTACGGGTGCAGGAGAGTCGACGAAGTCGGGCCAGACCAGCCGTTCAGCCCTGCCCTGTCACAGAGCTGGTCTGAAATGGACGAAAAATCCTGAACCTATGCTGCAGCAAAGAGTCACGCACCATATGGCAAAGTTTGATGATGTACCTCCGAGGTGGAAACAGCACGTACCACCTTCACATGTCTTGGCTCCCTCCCACAGAACTGAACTAGTTATTCACGTACACAAAGCAATCACAGCATGCAAGACGGCCAGGTGCAACCGGGAGTCGAGATACCGGCCGTGACTGGTGTGTCTAAGGGCCTCCCAGTCCTGCCATCATATACCTGTCAGAGATGCCCCGAATTGGAGCCTTCTGAATGCTGTCATAAACCTGGATCTTGCTCTACAAACAGTTGAAAAAATTATAAAGCTGTAAGCCTGGATGTTGGCATCTTGCTTATTTCAGTCATAGGGTTTGAGAGTTGTCAGGACGACAACGAAGGCCGACACAGCAGATTGTAATTTGTAACCCCGCTGTCGTGCAAAATTTGCAGGCAGTGGACACGAGTCTTGCCCGGTGATGCAGCATCCAACAACCACTTGTTGCCCGAGCCGATTTGTGCCCGTCGCATTGCTTCGAAGACCAAACCTCGGCACAAAAGTGTGGGCACTCAGGAATCGGAAGCCTCGCAAGTCGTAAGCTCCCAACCGCGTGAAGCCTCCTCTGCAAACATCTCATCGAAAGATCCAACTCGATACTCCTCGCCGTTCCATCTCCCAGCACTCCCGAGAATGTTCTCAAAAATTTGCCCGACGTTCATTCGCGATGGCACGCCCAAGGGGTTCAAGCAAATGTCGACCGGAGTGCCATCTGGCAAGTAAGGCATATCCTGAACCGGTACAATCTTTGACACAATTCCCTTATTTCCATGGCGCCCCGAGAGCTTGTCCCCGACCTGTATCCGACAGACAACGGCGAGCAAGACCTTCGCAACTTGCACCTTCTTGACACGACCAAACTTTACGCTCTCCGTGTACCAGACGCTGGCGTCGATCACTCGGCCCTGAATGCCGTCTGGAACCGTGATCGTGCGAGGTTTCGGCGGTTTGTCCGGGTTCGCGTCGTTCACGCTGTTCGCTCTCACGACGCAAATCGCTACATCGCCGCCTTCGAGCCACGCACCCTCACGGGCCATGCCATTGGACATGTACTCCCGTTCCCTGTACCAGTCCGGAGTTCTAAGCACAAGGTCTTCATCGAGCTCTAGTGTCAGCTCTTCGATGTGAACCGAGGTCAAGATGTCTTCACGAACACATCGCTCAGAGATGACAATGGCATCCTCGTAGTTGTAGCCCTCATAAGGCATGTATGCAACAACGAGGTTCTTTCCAAGGGCTAGCTCTCCACCAGCAACCCCTTGTCCCTCCGCGATAATATCTCCCGAGCAAACTGCGTCATTTGCACGGACAGTAACGGTGTCATGGGCCAAGGTATGCTTTTTTGTGGAAGCACAGTCTGTCATTAGGTGATGCATCAGCTGAGTTTGAATGCAATATTCCGTTTCAACCCAGCCAGCTGGAAGAGGCGCTTCCTCCCGAACACCCTCTGAATGCATGAAGGAGCCGCGTGATGGATTGATCCCAGCCCTGACAGACCAGTCTTGCAATCTCTGCTTGATCTTCTGAACGTTGGGTGTCGCGGAATCAATTACATCATTGTAAAGCTGTTGAAGCTGAGCATAGGGAAGACGTGCGCAAAGCTCATAGAAATCATCGAATCGAATCCACTGGCTAAGCTGCTCCCTTTCAAAATATTGCGCACGAAGACTTTGCCGCATGTTCTGCACCTGCTCACTAACCTGAACAATACCAGCACAGGAAACGGTAACCACCTTGGCCGCATCGCAGTAAAGAACGTGCCCATCAACGCCTGCAAATGTAGTTCGCGCACTGTACGTGGCAACCTGTGCTTCCATGCCACTACCCACGACCGGGCGCTCCGGCCAAAGTGTTGGCACTGCTTGTTGCTGATGCTTCGCCCCCATCAGGGCTCGGTTAGCATCATCGTGCTCGACAAACGGTATCAAACCAACAGCCACGGAGATTGGAGCCCCACAAGCGACATACTCAACCTGCGCTGGTGAACAGGACCCGAACAAACCAAGATGCGTCATGGTGACACTTTCTGGTCTTTTCAACGTGTCAGGTGTTGCTGTGGCAGAAGCTCTTGGGCCGCCCCTTTCTGGTCTCTGCGGTGCCAGCAAGGTTCCATCTGCTGCATGAGCCACATCGAACTGAGCCACTCGATGGCCGAACTGGTCCTGTGCCAATAAATACTCCCAAGGCTGACTCAGGTGCTGCACTCCCTGTGAAACTGGCTGGTGAGGTGCCTCCAACTCGCCGTCAGATGTAATACGAGTGTTTGAAGCCATTGCCATAACAATTCCTGCGCTCATGCCTTCACCTGTTTCTATTGGGCAGATGCGCCCATAGTGGCTTGGGTGAATTAAACGGATGCCTTGTATTCGCTTAATCTTGTCCAGTCCCAGCTCACTTACCTGAGTGATGCGACGAGCCTGCACGACCTCCGAAAGAGGATTCACGCATTCAAACAGTTGTCTGTTGTTCTCCTTCCAG